CTCCTGGCATGAAATAAGTAGGCCACTTCTGTTCCTATAAATGCCATCTGCACACCCCCATCCCACTCCCCACAGCCTCTGCCTCTTTTCCCCTGTTCCCCCACAACTGTCAGATGCTGGCTGGGCTCTGTTCCCTTGCAGAGTTTGCCACGTGGAAGCACAGCCCTTCCCAGGTCATGCAGCAGTATTGGCTGCTGATTTGGCTGAGTAGGGGGCAAAGTTTCCATGTGCTCCGTGCTCAGGAGGGAACCCAGCCTGAGCCAGAGCAGAGCTGCACCTGACAATATTGGGGTGGGGGGGAGGAAGGGGGCACAAATGCAGAGGGCAAATAGGGGGTGGAGGCAGGAGGCTGCTGTGGGTCTGACTGTCCCTGAAGCTTCCTGCCCCCCACCCTCCATTTTGTATGCAAATCTAAGACACAGGGCACTTTTTCCTTGCTCCATAATGATATGGGGGGGGGGCATCTCACCTCAGATTTAAGTAGATACAGTAATTATGGGGTAATAGAAAGTCTCACTGGAAAGCTTTGGCTTCTGTTGTGGTGTTTGTTATAGCTTGCTTTAGTTATCCAGATTGTGAGTATGTTAAGAGGGCAGGTGATGCTAGCTTGCTGGTCCTTGACTCTTCTTCAGATACGATTTTGATACTCAGCATGCTTTTGTTGGCGATTACTCTGGACAGGTCACACTGCTGAAGCTTGAACAGAATATTTGCTCAGTTATAACAACACTCAAAGGTCATGAAGGTAAAGTAGCTTCCCTTTTGCTTTGATTATCAAAATTTGGAATAGCCACTTTATAGCAGAAGGCATGAAATTCAGACTTGCATACCTCTTGATCTAGGTTCTAGATCAGTGGCACTCTACCTTTTTTAGTCTTTAAAAAAAAAAAAAAAAAAAGGCACCCTGCTGGCTTCTGAATGTAGTGGGGCCCCCCATTTAAACAAAATAGTGTATTAAAAGATAACATGACTGGAAATGTTTTTTTTTTAAATAAACTGGAAAAAACATACATGCATAACATTAATATTAATCATAAGTCTGCCAGTTCCTGAATGGGAACTGCTGCTCTAGAAAAGTACTATTATGGCTCCTATTGCTATAAGGTCCGAACACCCTAGATTTCATTTAGTTCCTGAAAGTGTCTGAGGCACTTGGGTATTTAAGTGTGTGGTCCAGAAAGGCTTTGTAAAAGCAAAATAAGGTTCCTTCTAGGAGCAAAGGCTTCTTGTGCAAGACATACGATTAGCAATAAAGCCAATTTTCCCTAGATTGGTGGAAATCACTCACTTTCACTTTTTTATTTCTCCTCCCTTTTTATGCAGCATATTGAAGGGGCAGCCCTGTGAAACAAGGAGAGGAAAAGCTTCCCCTGCAGGAGAGATACTTTTACATAATAGCTGGCTCCCTGCTGTGGGAGGGGTCCAGGTGGCACAGTGCAGTGTGGCACAACTTGGTAATAACTTTCACCAGCTTTACCCTGGGGCTCTGTTCCAGGTTCCTTCTTGGAAGAGCCTCTTAGCATAGGGCTGCCCACTGTTTTCCTGGGGAGTAAAGGGGCTGGCTTCCCTCCAGAGCTCCTGCCTCGGCCTTACCTGGGTCTCACCTATGTCCCCAAGTGAGCCATATCCTGTCCCAGAGTTGCATTAGCTTTTACTGCAGCTGTTCTAGCATCTAGAACCAGTGGGGCAGTTGACCTGGAAGCAGGGACACTGCATCACCCCTAAAAGGATCTTGTGGCACCTTGGTTGAGAATCTCTCCTTGCTATTTGGCTTATTTAGGAAAGTGAAGCTGAAGCTCTGTAAGTACTCCTCTAAAGAAATATTAGGAATTAAACTTTGATGCTTCCAAATAACCTGACAGTTCAAGTAGCTAAGAACCTTGAGTTTTTTCCTAGTAAGCTGTATGGTCTTCACTCAAGGGCTGACCTCTTGACCTCTTCTCAAAAGCTGGGTAGCCACAACTTTTAGAAGTAACTAAATTGTGCATATAAATAGTTAAGTTTGCAGCACATATGCACCCACCAGATGGCCACCTTTCTCAAATCCAGCTTGCATTCATTGAAAAAGAAAAGGAATGGTCCATCTAGGTGACTTTAATATTTTGCCATTTCTAAGGCAAAATGGCTGTTTGTTTTCTGCATACATTCCTTTTGCACAATTTAACTTTAACCAATGAGAAATGTGTAGGGTAGCTTCTCTAAATTATGGGATTAAATGATTGAATTGATGTATTTGATTTCTAACTTTCCATCTTGAAAATAAATGGAGAACTTGATAAGCAGGGCTCTAACTAAATATCCTAATGTAGGGCCTTGTGTGTAAAATGCTGAGTGGAGAGAGGAGCCAAAATTTGACCCTGTAAAAACAAATGGATCATGTACAGGCCCCTACTTCAGTGCTGTCTAGGTTACTTCTGGTGCCAAACTAAAAAATTGAGCACTGGAGCCATTCTGCAGGTGCCCCACACTGATTTTTCTCAGTCATACTTGAGATCTCTTGAAAGCAGTGACAAAAAGCAGTCTCAAGATGCTTTCATTCTTGCTTCTGGGTTTGTCACTGGCACAGTAGGAATAGGTAGGCAAGGTATGAATTTTGAAAATGCCAAGGAAGGTGTATGTACCCAAGCAGAGTTCATTGTGAAATTGAGCTGGGGCATGCTGAGAAGTCACAAACTTTGTGACATCACATGCTTTTGTTGATTTGAGTCAGTTGACTGGTGTGGTGGTGGACAGCACTGAGTGGAGCACACCTTTGCAACCCTAATGTGGAGAATACAAGTTTCTGTGTATTGTGGCAGCTTTTCTTTCCTGTTTCTGGCCAAGAGTTGCTAACTTTCTGCTTTCAAGTGCCTGAAGTGTGTACATTTTTAGGCAACTGACATGTAAGTACAGGGGGTTGAAAGGAAATGGGTAACTGAAGTAATCTTTCAACTCCCTGTGTCCTACAAAAAAAAAAAAACAAAAAACAAACTTGCCATTTAATTTCTTCTATTTTAAAAATAAACGATTCTTACTTTTATTTGGAAACTTGAGCTACTATGTGAATGTACTTTGATACACAACCGAGAGCATCCTATGAATAAGTAGTCTCACCAAACTAAACACTATTGGTTGCTTGTTTGTTTGTCTGCCCTTTGCCCTTTTAAGGTTTATTTGTGTACTATAGTGATTATTGTTTAAGTTGGTAAACTGCTAAGCATGTTTACAATAGGGCATATCCCCTTTTGAGTTGGTTCTTAAAATTTCCTTTCTTCTAGGAAGCATTACTTCCTTGTGGTGGGATCCTGTTCAACGACTCCTCTTCTCTGGAGCATCTGATCACAGCATTATCATGTGGGATATCGGTGGAAGAAAAGGACGAACACTGCTGCTTCAAGGCCATCAGTATGTAGCAGTGAATTATGGGTGGGGAGGTTCTTCCTCATACTCTGGCTTTGGGCATCTCTTCAGAGAGACTGAATGGTGGAGCAAGCTCTCGAGTATTCATAGTTTCATACCTTCTAGGGTTGGAAGGGACCTGAGTAGATCATCTAGTCCGACCCTCTGCCATGGCAGGAAAGAGTACTGGGGTCAAACGACCCCAGCAAGGTGTTCATCTAACCTCCTCTTAAAAACCCCCAGGGTAGGAGCCTGTACCACTTCTCTTGGAAGTTGGTTCCAGATCCTAGCCGCCCTGACCATGAAGTAGCGCCTCCTGATATCTAGCCTAAATCTACCCTCTGCCAGCTTGTGACCGTTATTCCTGGTCACTCCTGGC